AGAATCCCTCAGAAAAAGATACTTCTTTTAATTTTCCTCCTCCAGGATAATATTCCTTTGCACCTTCTTAACTGTTTTAGTTACTAATTGATTCTGATCAGAGATATGGGGGTCTGATCAAATTATATTTTGTATCTTTATTCCAAAATCTAATTCTTTGGCAGATAAGTATCCAGATAAGTAATTCAAATTCACCCTTTTAAAAAATCCATTCTATGAGACCCACAAGACTGAAAGTCATCTGTGTATTTACTAAATATAGTAATCCTGTGAAATTGTCTGCTCCCTGAGGGCAGAGACAATATTTTATTCCACTCTAAATCCTGCAATCACGAAAGAAGTACCTTGAACATAGCATTTGCTGAATAAATGTTAGAAAGTTAAGATCTTTTACATATTATACTTGCTGTTGGCAGAAGGTGTAACTCTACAGCAGCAGTGGAGATTTGTCTGTGTGGCTCTCCTCTCTGTGTTCCATTCTGACTGCAAAACCCAGGTAAAGGCAAGGCAAGACCCTGTTGCTTCTAGTAAACAACATGATTCAGGTACCATGCATGTATCCTGACTGTAAGAACACTGTTTTCCTGCTGGAAGAATCCACCAAATAGATCAAACCACTGTGGTGGTTGCTATCTCCTGATAGCATGTATAAACATATATCTGTAAACTAGATATATGTTTCATTTGGACAATAGACATCTTTAAAAATTAATTGCCAACTATATATTTTTAATTTCTTTTGAAAATTTGAAAAATTGAAACACCATTCTTCTTGGAACAAATTAACTTCAGTTGAGTTGCTCTTAGCCTATTTGGATGAAGGCTGGAGACACTAGCCAACTCTTATCCTAGCCAGCCCACTGCATTCATGTGTGTTACCTGCCTGATCCTGTAGGAATTTGCCTTGTGATCCCTGAATACTTCATCCTAGAATGTTTCTGTCTTGGTGTTCTCCCATTGCCGTGTTTTGGGAATAACACTAAAGCATCTGAGTGTTGCGGATGTTGGTTAAGAGTTGACATGATCAGGTACTAAGCCTGTCCTCCAAATTAAGTAGGGAGTTTGGCTCTCTGATGCAGTTTGGGGTCCAGGAAGTCAGGGTTGGTTTGCACCTACAGAGATTAGAGCAAGGAGAAATGGAAGAAAGCATCCCAGTCAAAGCAGAGCTCAGTCTCTACATAGGGACCTAAACCATGCTAACAACCTCTGTGTTTTTGAAGAGTACCCAGGGGAAGCCCTCCAGATATGAAGGGATTAGCAGATAGCCAGAAAAGATTCTCCTCTTAGATTTCTACCCTAGGATCCAATGTAGCAGTCCTTGTCCTGGAGAGTGGCTTGGAGTCAGTGACTTGTAATTGTCTTTGCAATTCTGGGTAGAAGGAGAAAGAGAAGAGGGACAGTAGTAATTGTAGATAGAAGCACTAATTGTTGTGGGAAAAAGAGAAGCAGAGCTGATCAAGGGGAATAACTAATATGAACATGTGGCATCTTTTTGGCAGGAAATGCAATAAAACAAGAACTGTCTGAGCACCTCCTTCATGTATTCCATGTGACTATAGGGCAATAGATTGGGAAAACGAATATGTACATGTGGACTTGAAACTACATTAAACAGTGTTCATCACAACAGAAAAATAAACTGAGAGCTAAAATCAGATACTGGGACCTTGAAAAGTGTATCAGCTGTGTCTTGCCACAAGTATGCTATGTAACAAACAACCACAAACCCTCATGGTACCCAAAAAACATTTTTTTGCTCACAGGACTGGGTGGTCAGTTCCATTCTGCTGATTTTGGCTGTGTGTGTCTAGGTTTCAACCAGATGTGATCTGGAGCAACTGGACCCCCTGGTTCTGTGCGCTTGTTTCTTCCTGCAGTAGACCTGGCATTTTCTCAGAGCAATGGTTGAGGCATGAGGAAGAGGACAAATCCAACTGTACGAGTGCTTTCCAGGCCTTTGCTTGTGTCCTGCTTCCCATGATGAGTTATGTGGCTGAGTTTATAGACACAGTGGGAAGGCACTGCAGAATTCATTCTCTTTAAACTTTCATTGACTCAAGCTGCTGAGATTTTTAGGTTGTTTTTACTGCAGCATAACTCAACCTATCTGGAGTGATAAAAATCCTTAACTATTTTCTCAGCATCATTTTTGTGTTCTAGCTAATGCAAAAATTATACAAATAAGAAATTCATATATTTTATAAGACTTTTAACAGAAATGCTATATTTATACCACAGGGAGCTTATATTAAGGAGTATTCCATAATTCTTTCTTATTCTTTCTTATACCTATGTATGTATAAATATGTTCTTTTGAGGTTTTAATACATAGACTAGGTTATAGTAAATGAAGTGGGTAAACTTGTGTCCTCATACATATTCATCATATATAATGTAGAAAACTCATTAATAATTCTGCATTTCATAATTCTAGCAGTTTAACTCAGAATAAATACAAATATTGAATGTTAGAAATTCTTTGAGAGGTCCGAATAATCACTTGGTCAAAGATGTCTATTGATTAAATTTGATATTATTATTAGGCTGTCAATTAAGTTCACTTTGGATTTATTTATACTTCATGCACATTTGTCCTGGGTATCCAGCAGACTGGTTGAAATGCAGCCATTATCTCTGACATCCGATGGAATTCTCTGCATGGAAGGTCCCTAGCTGACGGGGTAGTGCTAGGATTTTCCTAGGGGGAGTTTCTCATGGGGGCTTAGGTCTTATTGAAGTAGAAATAGATACTCAGAAAGCCTGCTGTGTCCTCAAGTAAAGAGGAGAAATCTCCACCTGTGGCCCATGATTTTGTTAAAAGCCTCCTTTCAGAATATTGACAATTTCTTTAGACATCATGAAAGACAATTATATACAGAATGGGTCTCAGGTAGTCACAGAATATTTAACCAAAGTGAGCATCTGTTTAATAAAATAACTGCCATGTGATTTTATCTGATGCTACTCATGAAATAAAGATAATCATTTTATAGTTAACCCAAATCAGCGCAGATTCTGTCTTCACCAACTTCCTAAGTATTCTTTCAACGTGACAGATTTATATTATAGCCCAAATCCTCAAATTTCAAGTAGATCGCATGCTTTTCAAAGGCTTTTCTCTCTATTTAGTTCAGTTGTTCAATCAGATTCTTATTTCAAGGTCTTATCTCTTCTTTTCCTCAGCTACCTGGCACTGTTACTTTTTTCAGAAATGTCTCGAGATCTGAGAGCGTTCCATCTAAAATAATCTTCTATTCAACTAGTGCTCTATTGACCGTAGGCTTCAGTGAGTGAATAGGTACAGACAAAAGGATGGCAGCCCAAGAGGATGACAGAGAATGCAACCACACAGCACCGATGAAAAGAGCTCACAAATGTGCATCACCCCAAAGCACATTCTCACCATGGCTTATTCCCCAAGCATGCTGAATACAACCAAGTACGGCTTTGATTCTTTAAGTCATTGATCCCACAGCAAACTGTAAGCTCCTCAAGGTTGGGACACTCACCTTCAATAATTAAATCTTTGTTGTTGTTGTTTGTTTGTTTGTTTGCTGTTTGTTTTGAGATGGAGTCTCACTCTGTCACCCAGGCTGGAGTGCAGTTGCATGATTTTGGCTCACTGCAACCTCTGCCTCCTTGGTTCAAGCGATTCTCCTGCCTCGGCCTCCTCTGTTGCTGGGACTACAGTGCGACCCCATGCCCAGCTAATTTGGAGAGTTGGGCCACAGTATTTTTGGAGGCTTCTGTTTATGTTCTTGTCCTTTAAATATTCCTTTCATCTCGGCCCTTTTCTCTGCAATTCACAATATTGCCGAGAAATATTATTCCTCCCTTGTTTTCACTTAAATGTTGAAAATTTGCAAAGGTCTGGCCCACTTCTCTCTTCAGTTATTTAGACTTTTTATTCAATTTCTCATCCCCCATGAGCAAATTGAACTCTGCACACCTATAAATAATCTTATTTCCCTCTTACCCACAATCCCTCTTTCTGTCATCCTCATTGAATCCTCAGGTCATCCTCCCAGGTCCCAAGAAATAGGCCATTGCTACCTCCACTGCCTTCATGCTTCTGTGATTCCACTCTCTCCGCTTTGTCTCCCCATGGACTCTTGGCCTCTGTCCTGAGTTGACCCAACCTATCTAATGACCAGGCAATGATTCTGAAATGTAAACCTGACCATTTGTCCCAGTGCTTACGATTCTGACTGAGTGTGGCAAACCTGTTCTATAGCTACTTATTTGATAGAATTGACATATGTAGTGACACTTTTTTAAAGTAACTCTTTTTAAAAGTATAAGTAGATTAAATCTAACTCTGTGTGTGTGTGCAAATGATATGTATATATATATGATATATAGAGTTAACTAATACATAAATTATAACATATTTTAATATTTAATACTAGCACAAAATAGTATGGCATTAAGTAAAAGATGGAAAATATGCCTATTGATATTAATTATCCTTCAATTATTATAATATATATTTACAATTTAGAATAAATGATCAAATTTGTTTATAAATTATTTAAAGCTTTAGTTTTCCAAAAGTCAATCACCTGTTTAATGAATTGAACTGGGCAGTTCTTACTTTAAACTTTGTTGTGATACTAGCCCCATTGCTTTCATAACATTTCAAATGAAATTAAGTGTATCTTAGTTGGATAAGAGAGAAAAAATTCATCATATGAAAATTTAGCCCCTGATTTATTTACTTCATGGAGAGAAAGGTGTAAGCTAGAGACAAAAAAGGAAGTGTGTAATTTACATTAGAATAATGTGTTCTTTGGGTGGGATGTGGTGACTCACACCTGTAATCCCAGCACTTTGGGAGGCTGAGGCAGGGGCATCACGAGGTCAGGATATTGAGACCATCCTAGCCAACATGGTGAAACCCCATCTCTACTAAAAATACAAAAATTAGCTGGGCCTGGTGGTGGGTGCCTGTAATCCCAGCTACTTGGAAGGCTGAGGCAGGAGAATCGCTTGAACCCAGGAGGCGGAGGTTTCAGGGAGCCGAGATTGCGCCACTGCATTCCAGCCTGGGTGACAGAGGGAGACTCCATCTCAAAATAATAATAATAATAATTAATATGTTGCTTTAATACAAGAAATACAATTGTGTATCTTCAGCATCAGATAGATTTCATGGAGGGTTTGGTTGGGGAATATTGTTTGGGAGCTTTTGAACTGTTTCTTCAATGGGCTACATCAGTTTCTTTCACTGCAGTATTTACTGTGGTCTAAGCCACCTTTGTTCTTGATCTTCAGTGGCCCCCAGCTAGAATCATTTTTACTTTCTTGTCTCCCTAACCCCATTATGCAATCTCTGCACAGCAACCAGACTGATTTTTAAAATTAAATCTGACTGTAACTCTCCTATTTTCTGCTGACTTAGAATAAAAGCAGGTCCTACCTGTGGCTTCCCAGGTTCTAGGCATGTCAACCTCCTTTCTCTTATAGGAACAGAGAAATCTCCTCCCAGATATAGGGTGTTAGATGTGCTGTGTTTGGCTTTTTTCATAATAGATGCCTTCCCATCCTTCAGGCTGCAGTTTAAATTATCCCTGCTAAGAAAATCCTTCCCTGACTGCCTACCTAGGTAACTGCCACTTTGTACCCAAATTCATTCACCAAACCTTGAAGAACAGAGACTAAGAGCATAGACTATGGCCTCAAACTGCTGGGGTTAAAACCCAAGCCACCACTTTCAAGTTGTCTTATGTCAAGAGATTCCTTAATCTTTCTATCCCTCAGTTTCCTAGTCTGAAAAGTGGGCATCATAATATCACCTTGTAAGGCTGGGGACTTGAATAGATTGATATATGCCATGCCCGTGGGACAGTCCTGGCTCGTAAAAATTCCTGTTTTAGGGATTGATATAGTACTCTGTTACTGACTTATAAAATACAAAGGAATATTAAATACATGTTAATGCTTATTTTTTATTTCCACTTATGCAGTAACAATGAATATCAGGACACAGGGGCCGTATCTGCCTTTATTCCACTACTGTGTCTGTATCTATGCCTGACACATAAAAGACACTCAGTAAGTGTTTTATCGAAGAACTGTGAATTGAGATCAAACTTTCATACACTGTTAAGGCCCAACATTTTTTGGGGCAGTGGAATGGCAGCTTCCAATGGTTAGAATTAGGTGCAGCTTGCACACTTTCCAGCAACCTCTATATAACAGTTGAAAGTGAGAGCAATTCTGACACCAAAATCTACCATGCCTGCAGGCATTTATATATTTATTCTGGCACTATTTTTAATCACTTACATACATAATGATATTTGTCCAGTTCCTTAAAACAGTCTTCAAAAACAGTTCACATTACCTATAATGGCTGAATAATTTAAACATTTAACATTTTATTACAAACATTTTGATACTTTTTCTGAATATCTATAATTTAAAACAGCGTGGATAGTGTGATGTTGCCCAGGTGTTTAAGGCAAGGGTCAGCAGCTCTTTCTATAAGGGGCAAAAATGTATCTTTAAGCGAGCACAAAAGATTTCATCCAGCTATCTGTCAAATCAGGTCACACCCATTTAGGCACGGCTGATTTTCAGCTGTTATGCAGCATGTCAGTTGCTAAGTACTGGTTGTTCATACCTGTTGATATGTAACTACTGTCTGGGTTTCAGAGTGTGTCTGACCTCCCTTAGGATCTGTAGGTGCTCAATCTGAAAACCACCAAAGACGGGTAAATGCTGGCTCTAAATATCATGAATTTGAACAATGAGCGCTCATGGCTTACATCTACATTATGCTAACAAGCCATTAATTTCACCCATGGAAACTCATTCTAATGCAAATTGTTAAAAATATCTGCCGTTGATCAGATATAAAATTAGTCTAAACAGTCTAAGGTAGCCCTCCTCTGGAGAAAGGGACTTCTAACTGGGAAGGGAGTTGGCCAGTCCTGGAGCAAGAGATTCTCATTAGGGCAATTGACTGAGTCTGCAGTGGGGCTTGAACTAGAGCCCAAGGCTGATTCCAGCCTGCTGCCTGTTTCTCTATGACCTATGAGCTAAGAATGATTTTTCACGTATTTTAAATAGTTGGAAAAAATTCAAAAGAAGATTTCGTGACATGTGAAAATTAGATGAAATTCTAACAGTGCCTATGAATAAAGTTTTATTGGAACACAGCACACTCATGCCTTTATACATTGTGTGTCACTGCTTTGGCACTACCATGGCAGTGCTGAATAATTGGAGAAGAGATGAGGTTACTCACAAATCCAAATATATGTACTATCTGGCCCGTTACAGAAAGAGTTTGCTGACAGTTAAATAATTGCATGGCAATATCACTCTATCCTTGCTATTTTAAATTAAATGATAGATATTCATAAAAAGTATATAAATATTTATAATAAAAGTGGCAAATGTTTAAATAATTAATCCATTACAGACAGTGTGAACTTTAGACAATGAAGACTGTCTAAAGAACTGGACAATATTCATTAATATAGTTAAGTGATTAAAAATAGTGTAAGACTTTATATATAATATCACAATTTTAATATGTAATTTATGTGTATGTGATATTACATCTGTTTATAGTGTGATAAAAATGGGATAGATTAAGAGATTATGGGTTTTGTTTTTATCTATTGCCTAACAATTCTAAATAAGCCTGCCTAAGTATTAAAATGATAAGACAACATAAGACCATCAAACTCATGCAAAGCTAAGTAGAAGGAACTCTGCGTAGTGTTCTTCATCAGTGAAATCAATGTGAATGTGGCATTGTTATGGAATAAAAATATTCCATATTTTTCTCAAGAAATAGAAAAGCATTATTTTAATACATAAATAGGAAAATGTCTCTGAAGACCTTGTTGTTTACCTATTCCATTATAACCAAGGAAAAGAGAAGTGGTAGGGCATTCTGTTTATACTTCTTAGTGATTCTGTAGAGAATAATTCAACTCTTGAGCTTCGGTGGAATGAGAAGTAATAAACCAATACACAAGCCACATAGCTCTCAAAACAAAAGAGATTTTCCCCTCATTGCTTGCCATTGAACAGTAGATCAGAGAGATTCTGATAGGATATTAATTTCCTCTCAGGCCAGTTGCTAGATACTTGTCTTGAACAATAAGCAATGTGACAAGATATGACAAAAATCAGCATTTTTAATAACATACTCTACAAACCAATTTCCTCCTTTGTGTGATCCCTTTTCTTCCAGCCTGTGTCTTCCTGGTCTGACCTTTTTCTTGTTACAACCTACTCTAGACCCTGATGGAAGCTAGTGGTTTTCTATCTACTTTCTATTTACTTAACCTCATCTAGCATATTTCCATTTCTTCTAACTATTCTGTAACCCTAACAACATTCATTGAAAGGTTTGTATGTAACATTTTTAGAAAATGACCTGCTATGTGCAGTATTCTTTTGCGTGACTACTGTACCATATACATTTAAGATGACAACACATTGGGGTTCCAAGTCCTGTTGTGTATTTAGTCTCCATTGGAATGAAAATCCTCAAAGCATATGTTCATTTTTTTCTTTTCAGCACATACTGATTGGGTGTGTACTGCTTGAAAAAAATATTTATGATGGTGTTGAGCAGAGAGAGAAGGAGAGAGGAGAGAGATGCAGAAATAGAAGGTGTAATCCTTACATGAGTACCATGGATTCCCTGTTGGATATACAATCCATCCTCAGTATTTAAGCATTTCATGTTTGTGAGATTGTGTATTTGTTAAAATGCATTTATAACACCCCAATTAACAAACAAGGTATTGCCGGGCGCGGTGGCTCAAGCCTGTAATCCCAGCACTTTGGGAGGCCGAGACGGGTGGATCACGAGGTCAGGAGATCGAGACCATCCTGGCTAACACGGTGAAACCCCGTCTCTACTAAAAAATACAAAAAACTAGCCAGGCGAGGTGGCGGGCGCCTGTAGTCCCAGCTATTCCGGAGGCTGAGGCAGGAGAATGGCGTGAACCCGGGAGGCGGAGCTTGCAGTGAGCTGAGATCCGGCCACTGTACTACAGCCTGGGCGACAGAGCGAGACTCCGTCTCAAAAAAAAAAAAAAACAAACAAGATATTCACAGCCCTGTGCAATGCATGGACACACATGTTCCTAACTGAGGCCTCATAAGATAATACTCTGCTTTCTCCTTTCAGCTCTTCTTCTGCAAACAAATGTGCTTTTCATAGTCAGTTGGTGCCACATTTTAGTTTGGTTTTGGTTTTTTCATTTTCATGGTGATTTCATTGTTTAAAATAGCCCTCAATGGTAATGCTGATTTGTTATCTCATGTTTATAAGTGCAAGAAAGCTGCAGTATGCCCTATGGAGAAAATAAATGTGTTCAATAAGCTTTGTTTCCGCATGAGTTACAGAGCTATTGGCCATGAATTAAATGTTAATGAATCAACAATATATAAAAATTAAGATATCTTCAAATAGAAACACCCATAAAACAAGGTTATACATTAATCAGTTGATGAAAACATTGTGACCAAAGGCTTGCAGGAATGTAACTGTTTATTTCTCCTAGGAATGAAAGTTCAGTATTCATTAATTCAGTGTTATTGACTTTATTGAATAAAACTATCACACATAACAAGAATCAGTTGTACTATGTTTAGGCTGCTACTTAAGTTTAGGGGAAATTATTAAAATAATTATTGATGATAATACTAGTTCTCTCATTCTCCAAATACTTTTTTTTTTTTTTTTTTGAGACGGAGTCTCGCTCTGTGGCCCAGGCTGGAGTGCAGTGGCTGGATCTCAGCTCACTGCAACCTCTGCCTCCTGGGTTTACGCCATTCTCCTGCCTCAGCCTCCCGAGTAGCTGGGACTACAGGCGCCCGCCACCTCGACCGGCTAGTTATTTGTATTTTTTAGTAGAGACGGGGTTTCACCGTGTTAGCCAGGATGGTCTCGATCTCCTGACCTTGTGATCCACCCGTTTCGGCCTCCCAAAGTGCTGGGATTAGAGGCTTGAGCCACCGTGCCCGGCCCCCTCTCCAAATACTTATGGAACCTTTCTGTAGGATATCCATGCACCAGTGATCAAAAGACAGAAACAGCCCTGTCCTCACTGAGCCTCCACTGCGTTGAAGATTTGTTGATTCCTAAGTGCCTGTTCCAGGCATTTTATGTGTACCATGTAATCCTTTCAACAGTGCTATGAAGCAGGTATTTCTAGCTCCTTCTTAAAGAAAAAAAAAAAAGCTGTGATTCAAATAATTTAAATAACTTCCCTAAAATAAAATGCAGTGTCTTCCACAACTGGATTTCAAACCCAAGTTGACTTGACTCTAAATCCTGCGTGTCTGTCCATTTGGTTTGCTGTAACAAAATAACATAAACGAGGTGGCTTATCGATCACAGAAATTTATTTATCAGAGTTCTGGGGACTGGGAAACCTTGGATCGAGGTACTGGCATATTCAGGGTTTGGAGAAGCTCCGCTTTCTGATTCGTAGATGGTGTCTTTTTCCTGTGTCCTCATCTGGTGAAAAGAGTGAACATGCTCCCTTTCACCACACAAGGAATTTTTAAATTACTCCGAAGTTTAACATTGGAGTAACTTTTAAAATGTTCTTGGTTTTTGGACTCTGAATTTACATGTACAATATATGAAAATGGACGACCCAGATATGTTTTAGGACTAACCTTTGAAGAAATACGGAAATTCTTACAGAGTTTTGGGAAGATAAGAAGAGGTTTTTGTCACACACCTCAGTGAGACTTTCTAAGTCTTTTAAAAATGTTGACCCAGCTGGGTGCCGTGGCCCACGCCTGTAATCCCAGCACTTTAAGAGGCCGAGGCTGGCAGATCACTTGAGGTGTAGAGTACGAGACCAGTCTGGCCAACATGGAAAAACCCCGTCTCTACTAAAAATATAAAAATTAGCCAGGCATAGCGGCAGACACCTGAAATTGCAGCTACTCAGGAATCTGAGGCAGAAGAATCACTTGAACCCGGGAGATGGAGGTTGCAGTGAACTGAGATCGTGCCACTGCACTCCAGCCTGGGCAACAGAGCGATACATACAATAAAATAAAATAAAAAAATAAAATAAAATAAGTTTTCTGAATTCCACCTAATGGGATTTATCATCTCAGCACACACCCAACTGCCTCTTGAGCCATTACACATCCTCAGACTCTCCTCAGACCTGATATCCTCTTGCCAAGGTTTGTTTTGCTGCCTAACCAATGAAACAAATTCTAAGCAATGTAATTTCAACGAAGCCAAACACAGACAGCAGCCTGTCTCACTGTGCATCTGACTACTTGTGTTTTCACAAGCTGTAGTTTACCAATGTTTTTCCAGTGTTATTTTTATGTTTTTATAATGAGTTGGGAATCGTATTCTTTTGTTTTAAAAAATTTTTTTTGTTTGAAATTTCTGAAAGAAGGTAAGATAAAAGGGACATAATAAAAACCCCTAATAGTTACATGCCCAGAATTAACCAGGATTAAAATTCGCAAAATACATTGCAGCCATGCTTTCAAAGTATTAAATGTTCAGCTGCTGCAAAATAGTGTTTTCATGATTGCATGGTCTTTCAGAAAAAAAAAAAATAGATGTATGGTATTTCTTAGATATTAGGAAAACTTTTTAAAAAACCAGTTTCAATCATATAGTTTTTGTTGATTAGCTTTGTAAACTTTACATTGTATAGAACCAGTTAAACAAAAATCTTAACATAGAATATGAGCACTGAGCCCATGAAAAAAAATATAGTTACATAATTGGGAACCAAAACATTTCTAAGTTTTTCTTTATTTTGATACAAGGTCTCACTTTGACTTAGACTGAAGTGCAGTGGTGCAATCACAGCTTACTGCAGCCTGTAACTCCTGGGTCTCTAGTGATCCTCCCACCTCAAACTGCCATATAGCTACATGTGCACAACACCACATCCGACTAATATTTTTGTAGAGGGTGGACCACTGTGTTTCCAGGGCTGGTCTTAAACTCCTGAGCTGAAGTAATCCTCCCACCTCAGCCTTCCAAGGTAACAGAGATTACAGGTGTGAGCCACCCCAACTTGCCTCATACTTTTCTTTATTATATATTTAAAGTTTCTTTTAAAATATATATAATTTGTATCTGAACTGTGTATCTTTTAGATGAAACTAATTTTTCAAAAAGTTGATGCTTTGGTTGAGTACTTCTATATTGGGGGAAATGGTAATTTTCAAAACATACCGGAGATCACTTTGCATGCTCTGTTAGCAAGGTATGTCATTTCTTTTTAAAATATTTGCATTATTCACATTTTTTGTTCTTATCTTGGGGAGCCTCACTGTTAGATGGACTACAAAAACAAACACAAAACAGTGCACCTCTCATTATGGTCACAATCATTACATTTTGTTAATTAAAATTTCACTTTTCATTTTCAACATGTTTTCAGGTTAATATGCTGTGATCCTTCTACTTGGAGTTATTAATTTCATATTAAACCCAAAGGGCATGCAGCAGTATTTTACATAATATTTATAAGCAATCAAATTTTTTGTTTTGTAAAGGAGTATATTGCTGAAAACCTAGATTCCTTAAGTGAGAGCCTCTAATATCTTAGGTGGATAAAAGGGGCTACAGAACCTGATATACTTTTCATTTTGCTTCACTTCTCTGTGTTACTGTAAAAATGAAGCAGCACTTGAGGACTATACAATTTGCAATAGCATTCTTTCTTGTTTGTAATATTGTTTGACAGATTTCTTTTGTTTTAATTTTTAGTTGTACAGTTAAGTTAGTGTTCCTGTTTAAATATTTGTTAACAGTTACATGATTTTGAATTCCTGCACCAGTTGGTTGATACATTGGATTCTATTCTCTTCCATCCCATTCCTGGCACTGATTTTATTTCCCCATCACGGTGCACTTTTCTTTGACTTTGTCACTTTCATGTAAGTCGTTTTACAATTGAGGCAATTTGAAAGTCTCCAAACTTGGAATGATTATCTTTTAAAATATAAACTCAGGTTATTATTTTTGAAAGAATGAGATAGATTTCCCCTGATGCTTGACTGTTGCTCTGTATTCTTCACAATTTTTGTGTAGGAAGGAAGAAGAATGGCAATTCATTCATGTTGCTCGTTTACTGTCCTAGACTCAAGGCCATGGGTGGTGATGCTGCTGTAACAAAATAGCTTCTGCTGTGTTACGATGTGCACTACTGGAAAGAGACGATGGGATCAGCAGTCTCATATTAAATTGAAGGAAATCAATTTCATTACTTCAGTTTTCAAGACAATTCAATGTAATTGATCCCTTTTTTAATGAAGATACACTCTCACCACTTTTGCTTCTCAAGTATCAAAATATCACCATAATAAAATACAGAAGCAGTGTGGTGAATAAAAGACGTATTAGACGATTTCTGCAGTACAGTGATTATTAGCTTCATGAAACTATGATACAGTGTATGTGAAACAAAAAGTAAGTCACAATATTCTGTACAATGGTGTTCACAGATTGATTTATTTACTGAAAAGTGACATTAAGATGTGGGTATGGAGTATGATTCTGTTTTTAGGTGTTGATAATTGTTTAGATGGCAGAAAAATTAATAGATATTTTAGAATCATTATAAAGTAAAATATTATTTAATCTGAGGGCAACACAACTAATTCACAAATAAATGTGGAGAGAAGAGAGATTTTAATTACGTTTGCCATCATAGAACAGTTCATCATTTTTAATACTCTACCATATTATTCATTCTGTAACAAATCTTTAAAATAGACATCGCCATTCCCATTTTTGCAGATTAAGCAACCAGATCCCAGAAGTCAAAAAACAAAAAATAACACCGCCTAAGACTCCATCAGTAGCAGATACAGAGTTTTACCTGGGTGCAGGTGCTGTGCTGGTTAGTTTTTGATTGGTGCTACAGCTGTCCCGCGCTCCGTATCACAGACAGTACTGCTACTGTGGAATTAGAATCCGACAAAAATGCAATGGAATAAAACAGCCGCACAGAGAAAAGACACTACCAGTAGTAACTTTGGTGTCAATACTGTTCGTTCCCAGTCATCTTGGTGTCTGTTGGCAGCACCTCTGATTTTGTGGCCCTTGCTGTGTCATTCATCAAAAGGGCAACTCCGTCTGTGATCAGTGAATGCAGAATGGAATGCTTCCTGCTTTGGTTGTTTCCTCTCACTGCCAAGTGCTGCTGCATCATCTCAGTATGTTGTCTCCTTCTTTCTGCCTTGCTTCAGCTCACTGTGCTGCAGCCGTTTTAATAGGGATGCTCTCTGTGTCATAAGCAGCCATGCATTCTTTACAAGCGTCAGGGCCCTTCTCCCGGGTGGTGGGTTTCTGAATTATAGGACTGAGACTTTCCACTCGTCGCTTGATATTTTGAGCTTCAATTTCCTTATTTGGAAAATGGAGTTACTTAAATCTAAAAAGCACAGGGTTATTTTTGAAACAGATTTAGATAACCCATGCGAGAATTTTTCAAAATTGTAAAATGAAAGAATCTCAGCAAAATAGTCCAGCATCACTGCATCGTATTGCTGAAAGTGCTGAGAATTTAAACATGATGTCAGTGGAAGGCATATGCTTATTTCCCATCACTATTTTTAGGATCATACAGAGTATATTTAGTGCACTGTAGAACGGACACTTTTTGGGGGTCTTCTCAAAGTCACTCTTAATGAAGCCATTCCTGCATGCTGAG